TGAACAAACAGCTTTTGTAAAGCGTGTCAAATCAGTTTAGGGCACTTCCTTTTCTCAATCTGCTTCAAGCAATGAAGGCATATTTGGTTCTTTTGAAAACATAAATGAGTCTTAATAGGTGAGTTTTTTCTTCTATATGCTCCCTGCAATTGACTGTTTACAAGTTCTTTGCGTACCCCATTTCTTTCCCAAAGACAGCTGGAATAGCAGGGGTAGGTTCACCCATGATTCCAATGAGTTGAAAAAAACTTGAAATTCACAACCTGCTCGGAACAGAAAATCCGCGCAACTGATCGTGTAAGTGGGGGGCAATATCATGACAATGTAAACACCAAGACTAAGGTGCAGTGTTTGGAGAAAATTGAAGAACTGATACAACCCGATCAATACATGCCACCACTGGAACCCACCAATGTAGAATTTTCTCAGATTTATGGTTCCTCTTTATAGTATGCAAAAAAAAGGCTCCATGACTCACTGGTCAGCACATTTTTACTACATTTGTTTTTTTTTAAAATCAGAGATGCTAGTAAAATTTTTTAAATGGATTTTTTTGAGTTGATTCCGAATTTGCCCTCTTTTTTTTCTCAAGCACATTAGGTTTTATTCTTATTCTTATTACCGGTAATAATAATAATAATAATATAGTATATTTTGTAATATTCATGAATTATGGGTTAGGTTCAGCAACCGGTGGATTTTTTTTCTGAAACGACATAGCTATAAATTGCAACGCATGGTAAAATCCGTATTGCACAAGCTTCTGAAGGTCAAATTTATAGGTCAAAAATGTTTGAATCTAAAAACATCCGAATGGATAGAAAAAAAGTAGACATTTTTTTAAAAACGTTGAAGGACGCATAGCGCCATCTCTGATTCAAATTTGCTACTGACCACTGTAACGGTCAATCCTATAATAGGAAGTTGAGTGAATAACGACTGGCTGACATTATGCTTTATTCGTTAAAGTCATTTACTTGCATTCTAAAATTAAAACACTAATCAGTGCTCAAAATCCTTTACAGACAAGGACAACCTCTTTGTCCCATCGGATATCCACTTCGAGATTGTATATCTCCGTCCGGACAAGCCAGCTGTGGTGCCATGTCGTGTGACCACTCCGCAGGCCAAAGTGTCGTTACACAGAGAAGTACCGCCTGAGGAGATCCAGGCCAATGAAACCTTGGTCAACTATGATCCCGCCAAGGGTTTTGTCCTACAGACACCCGGCCTCGAGTATCAGGGAGTTTTCTACTGCAAGGCCGTGACCAAAGGAACACCGCAGATCTCCACAAAATATCAGTTGCTCTATGTAGAAGGTCAAGCCGGCTTTACTTGTGCTTGTTAACTCTCGTTTAATGGTTCAACAAAGGTGAAGAAAACTGTTCCTGACAATTCTTGCACACTTTCTGCTGTCAACAGTCCCCAGTAGTCCACCTTTTGTGAGCCTGCAGGCTTCTTCTGAGCTGGTCAGTGGAGGCGACAACGTCAACGTGACTTGCAGCGTGATAGGGGAGCCGGACATCGACGTAAGCTTCACCTGGTCTTATCCTGGAGAGGTGAGAGGAACACCTTGTTTGAAACAACAAATGTAACAGCCAGTTGACTTTTGAGGACATTTATCCTGGTTCAGAACATCAGTAGGTAGTCTGATCTAAATCCCCCAACCGGGTAAGGAAAAATATATGGGCAAAAATGAAAAAAAACTAAAGAAAGCAACACAGATGAGGGAATAGCCCGAGGCGCAGTCGTTGCAGAGTGGGCGACATTTAACAGACAATCTGGTGCTATTCACTGTTAACGAGAACAATATGAGGTTCCGTGTCATGAAATGAAGTGTCACAAGAAGACACCATCAGGGAAGTGGTTCTTCTTCAGGACTTGGCCTCATTGGTCGTTGCAGAATTGTCCATTGGAACACCGCTGGAGAAGTGTCCCACCTCAAATCTTGTCCTGGCCGGTCGTGCAGAATCCACACGGCACTCGCATCAGATTCAGTCATCATTATCTAGCCCCTCTCCAAGCAAGAGAGGAAGGGGCGAGAGAGGGGAAGTGGTAGTTGTTAGGTCTAAAAGACCCGACTGACCCGGGCAAAGAACAGGCAATGCACACGGAAATAAGGTTTAGACTGCTGCAGCAGG